AAGTTCTTGAATTAGTAATTCCGAAAGAATAGAAAGATCTTTTGTTGCTTTAATTTATTTACTAAAATGTAAGTTTCTATATAGTAAAATGCACAATTCTTGAGCATCCGGTTCAGTAAGTCTTGAAAGTGAATACACCTGAATAACCCACGCTTCATCAAGATGCGGAACATTTCCAGCATGCCAGGAAGTTCTCTTGGATATTTCCCCATTTGGCCCCCATCCTTCCTCCCAGAAGTAAGCTCTGATGGCCCTTACTTATTGAATAATAATTTTCTCTCTTCTAGATTGTCATATCAATGGAATCATGCATATGAAATCTCTTGTCTCTGCTTCTTCTATTCGTATTACTTGTGAGATTCATTTTTTTAAAAAAAATTTTTCTTACTAGGATTTCTCCATGTCACAATTCTCCTGCCTCAGCTTCCCAGCTGGGACCAACAGCATGTGATACTATGCTGGGCTGTTATTTATTTTTTATAATACAGAGCATGTACCCATGCAAGAGAGAGAAAAGCACCTTAATAGGGTCTGTCATACACGATCCTCTCCGCTAGCCCTCCAGCTCTGCCCGTGCCTGTATATTTAAAGTGGATTTTTGTTGACACAATATAATTGAGTCTTGTTTTTTCGCTACTCTGACAGTCTTAGTCCTTTTTTTTTTTTTTTTTTAAGAGATTTTTGCTATAGGGCACATATGCTTGCCAGAGAAACAGAGAGACAGAGGCAGGAAGTGAAAAATCACCCCTGGTGGGGAGAAAGGATGGCCACGCTGCAGTCCCTTCTCACCCATTCTTGTCTTGGAATTTTTGGCACGTACGCACATACACCCTGTGTGTTTCAAGCCACCAGGTTCAGGACTCAAACCATGGTCATGTGGGAGTCCCACGCCTTAACTACTATACCACCTGCTGACTCCAGTCTGAGTCTTTTCATTGGCATATTTAGGTCATTCCCATTTAAAGTGACTATTGATATGGTTGGGTTAATATGTATCATATTTGTAACTGTTCTATCCATTGCCTTGTTCTTAGTTTCTATTTTTACCTTCTCTTTTTTTCCCTTTTCTAATTTTAAGTGAGCATCTTTTTTTCCTTTTTAAATTGTTAGATGATACATTCTCTCTCTTTCTCTCTCTCTCTCTCTGAGAAAGCACCCCCTATGGGCTATGATTACACCCTAATCCTCTCTCGTCTACCACCCCATCCTGTGTGTATACACACCTCTGGCGTGCTTTTAAAGCTCTTAGTGTCAGGGCTGGAACTGTGGCTGGCCATGTGGAACTCAGCTCCCTTAACTGCTAGGCCATGGGGCTGGCCCCATTGAGTATCTCATATGGCTCAATTTTCTCTTCTCTCTCGGCATATGAATTATTCTTTCTTAAAACAAAAAAGTATTTTAGTAGTTTCCCTAGAGTTTGCAGTATACATTTACAATTAATTTAAGTTCACTTTCAAATAACTTTACAACTAAGTTTCTTAGGCCTAATGTGCAGCTATAACAGAACATCTGGGACTAAGTAATTTATGAAGGACAGAAATAGATTTTCTCACAGTTCTGGAGGAGGAAAGTCCACAACCAATTCTAGCAGACTTTGTCTGGTGAGTGTTGACCACTCCCTCAAATGTGGCACCTTGATGCTGTATCCTCAGGAGGGGAAGGATATTACTTCCTCCTGTGGCATGGTGGAAGGGCAAAAAGGACACACTTCTTAGATCAAGTCTTATTTATTTATTTATTTACTTTAAATTAATTTATTATGTTTAAAAAGTTGCTATAGGGCATGTTTGCTAACTAGAGAGTGGTACATTTACTTCTCTTGTGGCCATGCACACATGTGTGCATCGTGTGTTTTTCAAGCTGCTTAGATCCAAGAATGGGACCATAAAATCAGCCATGTGATCCAGCTGCCTTAGCCACCCTACCACTTGGTTGGCTCAGTCAAGTCCTTTTACAAAGTCACTTAATCCCATTCTTGAGGGAGGAGCCCTCATGACCTAATACCTCTTTATGGTCCTTCCTTTTAATTCATAGCAACACATGAACGTTGAAAGAGACACATTAAAACTGTAGCATGGGGGAATCAGCAGTTGGCATAATGGCTATGTCACTGGACTCCCACATAGTCAACCGTGGTTCCAGTCCCAGAACTAGTGGCTTAAACCCATGCTGGGCATGTGTGTGTGCGTGCCCAAGATCCTAAGAGGAGAAATGGAGAAGGGGATGGGGGGGGGGCGTACTTTCTCACTTTCTATCTCTCTGTCTCTGTCTTTCTGGTGAGCACATGTGCCCTATAGCAAAAGCCTCTTAAAAAAAAAAAAACTGTAGCATGGGGCATTCCCCATTTCTCTCCTCCCCCCAGTTCCTTTTACTACTACTCTCATTCATTTCAGTTATCCATAAGGCATAATTACCTGTAGTTTGTTGTTATTATTTGAGTGAGCTGTTATATGTTAGGTCAGTTACTAATAAGAAATTTAATTTTATTTAATAGGTATTTAATAAAGGGTATTTTATTTTACCTTAATTTACATGCACTCTCTTAACTCTTCCTTATGTAGAAGAGAGATTCTGATCTATATAATTTCCCTCCGTTTTTGATTGTCTGAGAAGGTCTTTATTTCTCCTCCATTTTGAAGGATAATTTCACTGAAAAAAGAATCCTAAAGTTGTTTTTTTCCCCCAACATTTTAAGCAATTTACTTCACTCTCTTCTTGTTTGCATGGTTTCTGAAGAGAAGTTTGACATAATCTGTATCCTCTTCCTCTATAGGTAACTCCCAACCCTAGCTTCTTTCAAGGTTTTCTCTTTGATTTTCTGTAGCTTGAATATGATATACATAGGAATAGATTTTTGTTGTACTTATTCTCTGAACTTCCCAGATCTATGGTTTTGTGTCTGTTGTTAATTTTAGAATATAGCAGCCATTCTCACTTCAAATATTCCTTGAGTTTCTTTCTCCCTTTCTTCCCCTTCTGGTATTCCCATTATATGTATGTTACATCTTTTGTGGTTATTCCACAGTTCTTAGATATCCTGTTCTTTTTTCTTTGCTTTTCAATCCAGGAAGTTTCTATTGATCTATATTTAAGCATTGATCATTTCTCTGGCCCCATCAGGTCTGCTGATGAACCACCCTGGACCTTTTTCATTTCTGGCACAGTGTTTTTGATTTCTATCCCTTTATGTTAATTCATTTGTAGAATATATGTCCTTGCTTGTTACCCATCTGTTCTTGCATGTTGTACAATTTTCCGTTAGCCTTTAGCATATTAGTTAGCACTTTTAGCATTAGTTATGTTTAGGTCCTGGTCTCTTAATTCCAGCCACACCTGCCATCAGCCATGTCGTAATAGTCTGTGATAGATAAGAGCGCTGACTCTGGAGATAACGCCCACATTTGAATTCTGGTTCTGCTTTTCAGCTGTGTAATCTTCGGCAAGGTGCATAAATGATCTATATCTCAGTTTCCTTATTTATGAAGTGGGAATATTCACAAAATCTACTTCATAAATTTTTTAGGAGATTCGAATAAGTTAACACACGTAAAAGCACTTAGAATAAATTTTGGCACAAAAATACACCATCTGTATGTGTTAGATGATGATAAAGCCATTTGTAAAATGTGCCAGCTCGTCCCCATCTGAGGGCCTTTTCCTCTGCTGTCCTCTCTATTTGTAACACTTCCCCCAGATGCCCACACAGCTGGCTGTTTCCCCTCGTCTGGTCTCTATGCCAGTGTCACCATAGCAGTAGACCATCCCCGAACACCATCCGTACAAACACAGCTGGGTGGTGCACGTGGTAGTGTAACCACCCCGTGACTCCAGAGCCACAGCAGAGGCCTTGAGACTGGAGCCCAGGTGGACCCGGACATGCCAGGTGTGCTGGTGGTCCTCAGTGGTCAGTGGTGCTGGGTGAGGATTGCAGGGTGATGTGACCCTGTCAAGAGGGCCCCCCCGACCTCTGTTGAAAAAACAAACTTGAAAATGAAGATAACTGGGCCAGCAGGTAGCGTGGTGCTTAAGGTACTGGACTCTCAGAAGGCTGCTGTCGTTCGAGTCTCAGACCCAGCAGCTTGAAAATTACACAGCGTGTGTGTGTATGCGTGTGTGCCCCGAACTCCAGGAGAATAGAGAAAAAGAGACTACTGTAGTACGGGCATCCGCTGTGGGGAGTGATTTCTCACTTTCCTTCTCACTGCTTCTCTCTGTCTCTCTCCAGTGAGAGCACTTGCCCTATGGCAAACAAAACAAAACAAAGCAAAATAAACAAAAAGCACAGCCTTCTTCCTGTAGCTGTCTCCCTTAACCCCCTTTATTTATTTTTTTCATAGCAAATATGCTGATCTATGTTTACTCATTACTTTCTCTTGATTTTTTTTAACCTTCAATTGAAATGTAGGCTACATAAGGGCAGTCTGTCTTCAAAACGTGAAGAATTAAAACGTTTTTAGGGCAGTTTTCTCTATATCCACATACGGAAGTACGATGTAGCCCCTTGCACTTATGTTTTTCCGAGAATCTTTGCTGACGTTGGCAGACACTTACACAGCACTATCACGGCGCTGCATAAGCAGCCATAGACCCCTCACGAGACTGGCAGAGAGGATGGGACCAGAGCGGGGCCCGCAAGCATAAGGGAGGCACAGGGCCCGAGCCCGGTCTGCTGAGTGTGCAGCACCCTTCTCTTTTTTTTGGAGGGGTTTTTGCTATAGGGCGCGTGCACTCGCCAGACAGACAGAGAGACAGAGAGACAGAAAGCGAGAAATCACCCCCCAGAGGGGATGGTCACGCCGCAATCCCTTCTCCTCCATTCTCCTCTCGGGATCTTGGGCACACACGCACATGCACCCGGCGTGAGTTTTAAGCCACCGGGTCCAGGACACGAACCGCGGTCAACTACGTGGGAGTCCAGCGACATAGCCATTACGCTAACTGCTGGTTCCCCAGCCCCCTTCTCTAAGCCACGCGTAACGTCTTCCTCCTTTCTTTTTCAGTATGAATACTTCAACGCTGTGCTGATAAATGAAAGAGACAAGGACGGGAATTTTTTGGAGCTGGGGAAGGAATTCATCTTAGCCCCCAATGACCACTTTAATAATTTGCCTGTGAACATCAGTCTGAGCGACGTGCAAGTGCCGACCAACATGTACAACAAAGGTAAGGCTGTGGCTGCCCCGGTGGAGGGAGAGGGCTTGGGGGTGGAGGGACAGAAGCTGCTGGCCTTGTTGTTTTATGAACACAACTGCACGCAGTGTGTGTCACGCACCAGTGTCTAGGTTAAGCGCGTCGCTGTTCAGCCTGGGGATTCCAGCTTGCTGTCTCCCCAGTTGGCGTTTGTACTGAGCTCTCCCACATGATGTCGAGTGGTGGGCCAACTTGTTCTGTGAGAGCCAAAGAGTCAACATGTCCGGCTTTGCCAGCCTCGCAGGCTCTGTGGCAACCACTCGGCTGTGCTGTCCCGGCAGGAAAGTATCCTGGGCACTGTAACTCAGTGGGTATGCTATGTTTCAGGACAGGCTTTCATCTAGTAACAGAGATGACCATGTGTGACCTGCAGGCTGTTGTTTACTTCCCCCTGGCCTGGTCCTTCCCCCTCTTCCTTCCTTCTGGAATGGTACGACGCATGAGAGGGCTCCTGGAGTTGCACTGAGACCAACCGTGGTCTTCATTCAGAGTGCAAAGCACCATGCACTTTAGCAGGACTCCCTAGTCCCGCACTTGCCCCCTCAAATCCAGTCCTCATGTAGACAGTAGGGTTCTTTTCTCCAAATTCTCACCTATGTTCAAGTTGGGATTGAAGTGGCCAAGGACTGGACTGCGGCATCGGATGGCCTCTGATTAGACCCTGTGTCCCTCCTCTTTCCACCATAGCCTTGGGAGCATTAGTTCATCTCTTTAGATCTTGGTTTCCTCCTCTGTGATGTGAAATCCTGATCGTGGCTACTTATGGGATGTTACGAGGATTAAGTGAGGTGGAGTTTACGAAGGTGTAAGTTGTTATCCACATCTTCATCCTCAGCACTGTTGAGTAGGATTTTGCTCTACTTTCTCATACCTGAAAGACTCTAAGCAAAGAGAGCTATCCTCCTAGAAAAATAAATGGAAAAGCTATGAGATCTTCAAAGTTAAGTGCTGGTTCCCCAGCCCCCTTCTCTAAGCCACGCGTAACGTCTTCCTCCTTTCTTTTTCAGTATGAATACTTCAACGCTGTGCTGATAAATGAAAGAGACAAGGACGGGAATTTTTTGGAGCTGGGGAAGGAATTCATCTTAGCCCCCAATGACCACTTTAATAATTTGCCTGTGAACATCAGTCTGAGCGACGTGCAAGTGCCGACCAACATGTACAACAAAGGTAAGGCTGTGGCTGCCCCGGTGGAGGGAGAGGGCTTGGGGGTGGAGGGACAGAAGCTGCTGGCCTTGTTGTTTTATGAACACAACTGCACGCAGTGTGTGTCACGCACCAGTGTCTAGGTTAAGCGCGTCGCTGTTCAGCCTGGGGATTCCAGCTTGCTGTCTCCCCAGTTGGCGTTTGTACTGAGCTCTCCCACATGATGTCGAGTGGTGGGCCAACTTGTTCTGTGAGAGCCAAAGAGTCAACATGTCCGGCTTTGCCAGCCTCGCAGGCTCTGTGGCAACCACTCGGCTGTGCTGTCCCGGCAGGAAAGTATCCTGGGCACTGTAACTCAGTGGGTATGCTATGTTTCAGGACAGGCTTTCATCTAGTAACAGAGATGACCATGTGTGACCTGCAGGCTGTTGTTTACTTCCCCCTGGCCTGGTCCTTCCCCCTCTTCCTTCCTTCTGGAATGGTACGACGCATGAGAGGGCTCCTGGAGTTGCACTGAGACCAACCGTGGTCTTCATTCAGAGTGCAAAGCACCATGCACTTTAGCAGGACTCCCTAGTCCCGCACTTGCCCCCTCAAATCCAGTCCTCATGTAGACAGTAGGGTTCTTTTCTCCAAATTCTCACCTATGTTCAAGTTGGGATTGAAGTGGCCAAGGACTGGACTGCGGCATCGGATGGCCTCTGATTAGACCCTGTGTCCCTCCTCTTTCCACCATAGCCTTGGGAGCATTAGTTCATCTCTTTAGATCTTGGTTTCCTCCTCTGTGATGTGAAATCCTGATCGTGGCTACTTATGGGATGTTACGAGGATTAAGTGAGGTGGAGTTTACGAAGGTGTAAGTTGTTATCCACATCTTCATCCTCAGCACTGTTGAGTAGGATTTTGCTCTACTTTCTCATACCTGAAAGACTCTAAGCAAAGAGAGCTATCCTCCTAGAAAAATAAATGGAAAAGCTATGAGATCTTCAAAGTTAAGTCTGCTCCATTGTCTGCCACGAGGTTTTCAAAAGTATCAGGACCAGTCCTATCGTAGCCCTGAGCTTCCGAATCATACATGAGACTGCCCTCGTTAGGGGCAAGGGCGTTAGTTCTGCTCGTCCCCTCGCGAGCTGTGTGAGTCTAAGCAACTAGCGTGGCCTCACTGACCTCCGTTTACCTCTTTGTGAGTGTAGCGCCTCTCAGAGGGCTATTGGAAGGCTGAAATGTGTGCATAGCCGTCAGCACGGCAGTAGCTCAAGGAATGCAGTGCATCTTAGCTGTTCTTGCCGTTACTGGGAAATAACGTGAAAATAAATCACACTTCAGAATCGTTCTAGATCACTGTTTAGGAAACTTAGTCAAGGGGCCAGCAAGTGGCGTGGTAGTTAAGGCACTGGACTCCCACATGACTGACCGTGGTTTGAGGCCTGGACCTGGCGGCTAGTTTTCTCACTTTCTCTCTCTCTCTCTTTATCTGTGAGTACACATGTCCTACAGCACGATTAAAAATATATATATAATAGATAAAATAAATGATTCTTTAAAAAAAAAAAAAACCTCAGTCAACAAATAAATTCTGACCTACTGTCCCTGAAACATTCTTGTGCCTTTTCCCCTTATTTTCATGGCTGGGATACCTACAGCCTCCCTTTCTTACTTCCCTGTCATCTGTCTTTCAGACTCAGTGGAGGCAGTAACGATGCTGTCCTGACAGTTCTCAGAGATCTCCTGGTGAACCAGGTGTGCCCCTCCCTTGAGGGGTTCACTTTTAGTTGGGGAACCCATATGTAGGGAGATAATCGGAGTGTCATATCACTTAGTGTGGTCACAGCTACAGAAAGCCGGGGACAGCGGGCCATCAGGGAGGGGCCCTGACCACTTGTTCCTGTGGGCATCAGCTTGTTCTTTCTCTCCCTTCCAGTTAGAGAAAGTGATGCCAGTCCACCCCACCCCCGGGAGCTCTGGACTGGGCTATATCCCATGACCTCATCTTTGCTTTGGACTCTTCCTGAGGGCACGAGTGAATCCAAGCACCCGAGGTCTGAGCTCAGCTTCCCCCAGGCTGATCCATCAGCTGGCAAAGACCGAAGTGAAACTGCCCCTTTGTGTACTGTGTGGCTGGAAGAGGGCCATCTTCATAGCGTTAAATACATTCTCAACAGAAGATGAAAAATTAACAAGATTGTACAGAGCAATTTCAGGCATAAAACAAGTCAGAATGATCTTTTAAAAGATGTCAGCTGCTTCAAGGTTGCTCAAGCCATTAGCACCATTATAGAGATTTAATTGCACCTGGAGTTTTAAAGGCATAATTGCACCTCTGGATGGTAGCAGCACAAAGAGACCCACTCTGCTGTGCTCACACTGGCGAGGCAGAATCCCAATAGACAGACTGCTCGAGCTGCAGGAGGCAGATGGTGGTATTTTAAGTCATCTTCAGCAGCCCTCTTGGGGTCCGCCTGTCACCCCTATCCAGTGGGGTTGCAGAACATGGAGCAGGGTCAGTCGGGCACTGATCTTGTCTCTACCAGGGAGTAGGTAACTACCCAGGGGAGGAGGGAGGCTTCGGGAGAATTCTTGTCTCCACTCTGCCTAATTCAAACCAGCCCCAAACAGCCCTTTTCCTTTTCAGGCTGTAGAAATGAGTTTCATGTTTGGAAGGCCCTCCGGCTCTGCCCTAGTTATTGGTGACATCTACTCAAAACACGTGCCCAGAGCCTGGTCACTGGCTATGTGCTTCCTGGGTTGGGAACCATGCCCCCGACGGAGGAAATTGACGAAGGGTCATCCTCCCCTGGCACCCCTGTGGGTACCTAGCAGTGCAGTTTGATACCCACCTAGAAGTGCTGTGTGCTGAGTTCATGGGCATACGCCGAGTCCTGGGTGGCACTGGCTGGTGGGTGGTTTGCTGCCTGCTGTCGCCGCTGCCTCCCTGGCCGAGCCACGCAGCCAGGCGAGGCAGCCGAGTCCCCGAGACAGTTACCCAGCAGTTGGTGTCTCCTGGGTCTGTGGTTTCTCTTTGGCACTGAGAGACATAGCAGCTTCGATGTTGGTGACAGGTGGGCAACCGTGTTACTGCCCTTGGGGATTCAGCCATATTCCCCGAGTCCGTGCACATGAGGCTCAGGGTCCTCAGGGTGCGACGTAGCAGCTTCTCTAGCAGGTGCCTACTGAGGGGCTGCAGCATCCCCAGCCTGTGAATCCTGCTGTCTGGGAGACTTCAGTGCTCCATGTTCCCTATGAGTGAAGCGTGGGGCACAGGCTTTAGTGGGGACAGTGGGTGATTTGGCAGAGGAGTCAGATAAAGACTAACTTTTGGGGGCCAGCAAATGGGGTAGTGATTAAGGTGGCTGAATCCCACATGGGTGGGATGGACTGTGTGGTTGGAGTCTCGGACCTGGAGGGTTGAAAAACACGCTGGATATACATGGGTGTGTGCCCCAAATCCTGAGAGGATAGTGGAGGAGAAAGGATTGTGGCATGGTCATCCCCCTGTAGGGAGATTTCTCTCTCTCTCTCCCCTCCTACCTCCCACCTCCCTCCCCTTCTCTCCCTGGTGGGCATGCTCTATAGCAAACTAAAACACACACACACACACACACACACACAAAGTACTTTGTAAGCATTTGTGTGTGTATTCAAGGGATCTTAAAAATTCATGGAAAATACATATTAGGAGAAAACTGTGCATACGTTTCAAATTTTTTGTGCTGAAATAGACTTGTACTTTAATTATATTTTTTCACAAACTTTTTCAAGTCTCCTCAAGTACATAGCTACATATAGGTACATATACACTTGCACACACAGTATATAGTCTGTGAGAA